ATAGTATGTAAGTAGTGGTATCAGTCAGAGGAAGCATGTATCAGATTACATCTCCCAAGCCCTGGTTAAAAAGGAAGGGGGTGGGTTATGCTTTTGGACACAGGTAGGTTTGCGTCTCACCTTAGCGTGCTGCGCAGTGAGCGAAGGGGTTGGAGAAGTGACGCTTTGAGGCCGCCACGAGAAGCCCGCTTCCGGAGCCGTCGCTAGCGCCAGTGACCTTGTTGCAAGATGGGCACATCGCGAAGGCGGGCGCCGCCTCGTGGAGCTGCGTGTACCTTGGCGCCAAAGATTTTTGCGACTTGAGCTCCTGTAGCTCCTCCTGCAGCCTAATGTTCTCCTCCGTCAGCCTCTCGCAGCACTTCCTGAGGAACTCGAGCTCCACCTCCGTTTTCTTGAGCTTACTCCTGCAACACGATGAAGACGTACACAAATCATATGATGTTACAGAGTGAACTCAGACTTCATTTGCTTCGCGGAGATCTAACCTCGCTCTCCTGTTCTGGAACCACACTTCCACCTGCCGAGGCCGAAGGTTCAATTGCTGAGCCAAGTCCTGCTTTTGTTTCTGATAGTAGAAACGACAAGACACAAACCAGATTAGAATCTTGATTTCCCAACTAAGGATATAGACGTGAAGATTTCAGGGGAGGACATGCACAAACCGGATTAAGAGTTCCATGCTCCCTGAACTTGTCTTCCAAAAGGGCAGATTGCCCCTTGGTCAGCCTCAGCTTCTTCCTTGCAGTGCCGTATTCCTCCTCATCACTGATCCGCGGCCAGATCTTCTCCGCCTCATCGTTCTCCCCATTAATCTTCGATGGATGGCCACCGGGAAACGACGACATCACACTATGAGTAGGAGAAGATTGCGTGCCGACTGACCAAGCCTTTCTTCCATCTCCGGGGAGTCCGAGGGTGAGAGAGGGCTCGATAGCCGCAGCAGCGGAAGAAGATATTTCCAACTCGAGACGAGAGCTCGGCCGGGGACGATTACCGACTGAGGAATCAGTACTTTTCCCATAATAATTCAGTGCAAGAGAAAGGCCAGTGCTGCACATATCAACCTTACAGGCATCCATGGCCGAGCTAACGGGGATACGCTCCTATGAGACAAAGGAAGAGAGGTGTCAGCTAAGAAAGGAAGCAACGGAAAGAAAGGAAGAGGGATGCACGATGTATTTGAGCCATGGCCTGGGCCGGAAGGATGTTAGGAGTTTGTGGTAGCATGACACATGCTGACATAGATCGAGTCAGAAGAAAAAGAAAGGACAGTGAAGCCTCGAAACCACGGCGGCGTAAGAAGAAGAAAACCAAGAGGAGAAGGAGAGGTATATCCGATGGCTACGTGGACTCACATGTGAGTCACATTGGAATGCCTTCCCATGCGCTCAACAACAACAATGACTTCAGCTGTTTCCGTCTCATCCACTGTATCTTGTTCCTGTAAACTCCACTCATCCTCCACAGGAACGAACAAACCCTATAATTATGTGCGTGTCTTCTACGACTTACAAAGGTTCCTTGGGACGTTTCACGACATGCAACCAATTCAGCTTGCTGCAGAGCCGACATGCCCTCCATAATCTACGAGAACATCCAGCTAATCTGCCAAACAATGTTGAAGAATATGCGCGCACGACAATATCGGTTGCTTAAGCGATACAGATAAATCTCAGTTCACTATCAGAGTTCACAAAGCCTACTGCGTGCGGTTTACAGCAATGAAGTTTTGCTAGTTCAATTCAGTGACAATAATCTATCTTATGTCTCCGACACCCAATTGCTGCTGTTTGCATCAAGGCATTTATTCTAGTACTGGGCGTGTCGTCTAATGTTGTATATTGCCATAGGAAAAATAGTTTTTAGCTCCTTTTGTCCTTTCCAATCAAAGATGGTTGAGCAGTAGTTGTTGAGAAATCTTTTTTCCTTTGATGCTTGATCTACTCTTCTTCTTAATGTAATAATTGTACCACTTTTTACAAGTCAAAAGGACAAGGAGGATTGAGACAATTTGCATAGTCCATAGATTTGGCATCACTGAGTTACCAAGTGAAATCATTTTGTAGGTCTCGAAGAGGAGACTGTGACTTCGAAAGTGTTATGCATCTCGTCACTGTTGAGATTATGGCCTAAGATACTAAATCTTTTAGGATTAGGATGCCGAAAAGGGCCACTTTATGGACTAACAACATGTTCTCCTGAAATGACAACCACTAGGAAATGCTTGTCATTGGTATGGTAAGATTGAACCGATCTTAGATTAGGTATGTGGAGATCCATTGACATCGCCATAAAATTAACTTAATAACCAACGAGGAGAAGCAAGAAAAGTGTCTCGGTGTGACAAATGAGTCCAATAACACTAAATTAAAGGTAGGTGGATGTTCCTTCAAGCATCATCATCATCACCTTACTTACCAAATACTTGTCATTATATGAAAATATAAGGCTTGGTCTGTTCTGTTTCTTTGACCGCTTGTTCTTGTGGTCATTAATCTTAATCCTCATTGTATCATCTTTACGTCGTGGCCTCGGGGCCAATACAGTTGGGTTCGGATTCGAATGATTAAAGATCTTCCTGAACGACCATTGAGACTGTTGAGGTAGCCGACCGCGATGGTCCGATCGCAATAGGGTCACTGTTTTCTCTAGGAGGGGACCCCTCGCTTGGGCCTTCGGTGGGAGGCACTCTGTCTTCGTCCCTGCACACAAGTCGGGTCGGGAGAGCTCGGCCCGACCCCTCCGACGATCAAGTCAGTCGATAGTCTCAGGGGGTTTTTCTTGTTTTTTTCCCTCCTCTTCGTTCCGAACGTAAGGTTTTTTATAGAAAAGGTCACCGTTTCCTGATGTGCCTGCTTGTAGGGAGCAGGGTCGTACCTTGGATAACATCTGATCGGCATTGGCGTTGTGTGAAGGACCGAGCTCCTGTAGGATGGCAACGTGCCTCGGTCGGCGTTTTGGTCTACTTCGACCAGACGTTGTCAGGTCAAACCGAGGTAGGTGACCCCCGCAACTCCTCGGTCTGTGTGACCTAGGAGACGTCACCCGGGAGCAGGTGACGTTAGTTCGTCTCTCATCATTATTATTACCTTTATCGATCCCCAGTAGACCTCCTCTCTTCTACACACACACAATTTTAGGGGATAAAAGAAAGTAATGAAGTATAATTTTTTATATGTATTTCAAGAAACTTAAATCGATAGTATTGCCAAAGCTCTCTGTACTTTCCATAGTAAAACATTTATGGTGGTTGCCACAATTACGAAAATTTTGATTTTCTTACATTAAATCACGTTAAATCACGTTATCGATTCACGTTAAATCTTACATTAACTTTCTGATATATTATTTAATTATTAATTATTTTAAAAAAAATTATTAGTTTAAGTTTATCTATCTTTCCCTCTTCATGCGACTTCTGCAGTTGAGTACACACAAGTGGGACACCAGCCCACCAAAAATACATTCCTTGACCTAATATTATTATGTCAACTGCAGTTCATTTCATCCTTCCTCAGCTTTCAATCTCGCATCCTCCTTTTGGTCTCCGTATCCTTCAGCTATGAGGTTTTACAGATACTTCTCTTTTACCCTCTAGTTTGATCTCCGTGTCCTCGGCCACAAACATGCGGCGTGCTTGACGCTGTTGTTCGGTGTTGAGTAGATGTGTGTGACTCCTATCTATCGTTTTCTTCTTCATGTGAATTGAATCCCAGTCCTACACAAGAAGAAAGGTCTAAGCTCTTTAAAGTCAGGCGTTGGATACTACCCATCTTTCTTTTCTCTGCGAAGGAAGGACGCTAGTACGATAACGATGCCAAAACGCATAGTTCCTGCTTCTCGACACATTATGCGTACTTAGTTCAAGTGTCACATTTATAAATATAAAAATTATAATTATATTTTTATAATATAAAAAAATTGATATGAAATCAAATAAAGTTTAGATATACGTATCTTTCGATATCATTCAAAAATTTTTGATATGATCTATAAAAGTATAATCATTCAATTCAAAAACTATAGTGATATCGATTTGTAAAGAAAACTAGACTCGTCTTTTCCTTTATGTTATAGTTTTACTGAATCATTACCCGTAATACAATAAGTACTAAGAAAAAAATAAAAAAAAATCATACTCAGAATTTATCTTATGAGTCTCTTTTCTACTTATCGATAATCATACTCAGAATTTAATTAGATATATAATAATTTTATTTAATTAAATATTGTTTTATAATTTAATAAATTTGGACGTGATAAGAAATTAAGAAAAATTGATTTAGAGGAGAAGAGAAGACAACGTAGAACAATGCCAATTGTGGTGGATGGAGATTCTTTTGATGAAAGTAGTCCTGTCGTGTGAAACGTTAAACATATATGGTAAGCATTGAGACTCATAGCAAGATGAGTGATCGCAAGACAACGTCATATGAGTAGATAAGAAAAAGACCACATTTTGCATAGCGTAGCCGACCACTTTGAGCTTGCCTTCATGTTTTCTACTTCGCTCGCCCTCCTCCATTGTTGTAGTCTTCATCAGTCACCTTCGTAGGGAAGAAATAAGCATATATCAAAGTCTGAGTGGTGGCACTTATATTCTTAATCGCATCACCAAGAAACGCACCGACGCTCTTAAAGATGGGGAGGTAAGGCCCCATTTCTTTAGGCCAGTCTGAAAAGTATAATGCTTTGTGAAACATACGAGGCAAGCTTTACATAAATAAATAAATCATTATCATGGGAGAGTTCTATCGTTGTCATGACCATCTGTAATGTGATCTGCGTTGAAAGAAAAGTCACAAAGTGGTCGTAACCATATCAGAAACATTTGTCTTACAGTGAAGTTTTAGTGAGCTTTCTTGTTAGAAGGTCGGCATGAAGGACGATAAAAAATATATTTGTATGCATATACTCTTTTGGTATTCTTACGAGAGCTAACAATTTGAATTTGATTGATAAGACTTCAATAAGCAGTGGACTCTCAAACATGAAAACAGTATGCTTGTGGAGTTCATGTTTAACGACTCCTCTTCATGTTTAAAAGATCACCAAAGAATATTCTTCTCATTTGTTATCGGAGTTTAGTTGTGGAAGTTCTATAAGACTTTATGGTAAAATATCGAATATAAATTCTTTTTTCTAAAAAAATAATTATGTTAATTAGTCTATCAATTTTGTTTGACTCAAATCACTAATCAAAATACTTAAGTTGAAGTTGATAGTAAAATACTCATCAAATTCTTATAAATCAATCTTAATATATTATATATCTAATCTAAATAAATAATATTTTGATATAAATATGAATATTTAAATAAATAATAATAATACATACCTCTATCGCGTAGGAAACAAACAATAGTAATCCTCTAAGCAAACAAACAAACAATATGTTCGATGCTCTTAGATTCCTCTACCTAACTTCAAATCTAATCTTTATACTTTAAATGTTCTAACTTAGCATCGGATTAGGATCCCTCATTATAAATTCCCAGTGCTTCTTTTTGTTTATTTATTGCAAATTCTCCGGTTCAATACACTCAATATACTCATTCAACTACCTAAAAATTATCATAGTTATTCTATAATTTATAATGTACTTCATCCGTGAAATTTACCGTTTGACTTCGGTCATCTACTCGGGACGAACAACCTCAATCTACCCTCACCATTCTAAAGAATTCCACTATTAAGGTCAACGCGATTGGGCTTATGCCTTTGTATCAATTGGGCTCACGAAAACGAGGGTCTGTCCAAAGATGTTGTCCCTCCTCAAAAGGAAGAAGAAGTTCATATCATTTAATTTTATAGAGATAAAATAAGATAAATAAACTTAAAATGATTAATCCATCCATCTGAAACTCATAAGATAGTGTCATAGATTCCTATTGTATCATTTCCTATAAAAGATAAATCTATCTAATTATTGAAATTATTCCCATAGAACATACTAAAACTTTTGCTTTAAGGCTTCATGTCCTTGAAAAAAAGTTGACCATCGGACTGATATTTAAACTCTTTAAAGTTCAGCAACCTCTGACTGGTGATCAATATCTGTCATCATCAGTTATAAATGAGTTCATGTACCCCAACCCAGCAGCAAAAAATATTGTGAAAACTGCAAGTGCTTTAGGCCATATGCAGCCTCCAGTCATTCTCCCAAGAGCTGTAGATTGGGGCTACTTTAATGGACCAAAACAACGTTTGCCATGTCAATTGCGGGAGATAAGCCATCATATACAATCGATTTGTTAAGAGCCTTGACGTTTTATACTGGGACCACTCGTTAATACCATTTTGTGGTTCTCGTGATCCGTTAGGTTTATAACTTGTGATTGGAAATATATTAACAAACAATCATCGTTTTGCACATAATCGTCATAGAAAAATTATCGTAGAAGAAAAAGATCCAAGTCACCCTCCATTTATCTGTTCATAAGGAGAAAAGTCTAAGACAGACCATTTAAGATTGTCTCCCCTCTATCTCCGCATGGATAAAACATTAACGATATTGGGGTAATTATATATTGTCTCTTTCAATGTCAAGTATAAAAGTTAATCTCCAACGCTACACTGAAAGAGCACTATTTCTAAAAATATCGGATTGAAAAATTTCTCTTGATATCGATCTTATTATATGTGGTGCTACGGGAACTCAGATACTTCTATCTTGAATCTGTCTCGGAACCACTTTAATCATCATCTTGGACACTCATGTTATTTTAGGTTTCGAGCACGTCAAATTGACTCCGACATCAACCACTATTTTTCCCTCAACAACTCTAAAATTTTTATTGATAAAATTAGGACTACTATTTAGGAATCTATCTACTTAGAAAGCAAGCAGTGGTTTGTGATGTAAATGAGAAAATATTTCGCAAGACAGCTTAAAAAAAAAAAACATACATTTCAACATAAAGTGTTATGTAGAATAGCTCTTTCTCTCAAATCAATATAAATATATTTAGCCACAATTAGTTTGATTGTGGGTAAACTATTCGCATATGCTTGAACTTCTACGGATTCTGAGTGGACTTATAATTGTAGGTATCGTATGCCATTTCTGCATGGATTGCAAGGCAAAATCGGATTGTTTGTCTCCTCCCTCCTCTCATCACAAGTTGCTCTCTCTTCTCTATCTTAATTCCCACAGCTATCGTCGTCTCTTTCCATCATCGATATAGTCTCCTCAGTCTTTTTTATGACTGTGAAAAATAATTATACAAACACATGTAAACAGTTGTACGTGTGATGGCTATTTACTTGCGTTTATAAATGTAAGCTATCCAACATCTTTCAAGACCAACTCATATATAATGAAGTATGGAGCGTGTGAATTACTACCTATTGGTTCCCATCAAAGCGACATATTTCGGTCTCGTTTGGGTGAAAAAAATATATACTATCACTAATGATATTTTTTTATTAAATAATTAAATTATAATCATTACAAACTAATGATATAAAAATATCATCGACACAAAAGACATATAAGTTATATATTAAATTTGGGTATATCAATAAAATATATTATATCAACGTATGTGATATGATATGATAAAACATTATTTGGTGGCTAGTGATCTGTGATACAATATAGAGATATACGAGTTTACAAATTATATCAATATCTTATACAAAACTAATATGATAAATATTTATTGCTACTAAAATGCTAATGTGATATGATGATATAGATTGTAAAATAATATTTTTCTATAACCTCTAATATTAAGTAGTTAAACTCTAATATTATACACAAAAAGCTAGTGATATGAGATAAACCATCTCTATAAGAGACATATAACTCACATCTCAACTCGAGTTATTAACAAGACATGTTATATAATAATATCTCTTATAACGAAATATTTCCCTACATTAGATTATATTGTTAATATGGTATAATGATTGTGGATCAACGAAAGTCACTCTCTATGTAAAAATGTTAGGTCAATTTTATTTGAAATTTTGATAAACTATGAATAGAAAATAAGTACAAGTAGGAAAACAAACCAAGTATTGGAGTATAACATGAGATGAGTGCAAAGGTTAGGAACTTATATTGACGCGCCTAACTTTCCACATGAGCCATTCTCCTTGTGGAGATAAACTATGAACTGAACTATTTCTCATGTATATAAAATATAAATTAAGGGATAGAGAGAGAAGGCACATGATTTGATGCATTATTGGATCGAGCCACCTCTGAGTTGAGTGAAGACACCACATTTTGGAGGACTGTCGGTAGTGGACCCAAACCATGTGTTGCACACCCTTAGCTTTCATTTGTTCGTTCAATCACCAATCATCGCCCCACGCATGTCATGTCAAACTTATTGCTTTGATGCATTAAATTAAACGCTTAAGCTACTCAAGTTCACATTTTGTGCAACAAAGATTGCGTAGCAAGCCATGGTGTTTGACTATATAATTGCTTGAATATAACTAGAGTTTATAACGTGTGAAGAATTAGAATCCACAATTTCTTCAACTATGTATACCAACACATCTCTAATTCTTTTGCTCTACACTTGTATTACACCAAAAGCTCTATGTAGCTAAATTACATCAATTTTCCACAAAATTTGGATCTTTTATCAAAAACAAAAAAAGTTAAAATATAATATAAAATCATTTAATATTTGTAAGTAATACATAGGTTTGTGGATATCAACTTGACAAGAGAGAGTAACATATGAGCAACTTATGATATGTCACTTTACGGATCTGATATCGAGTTAGTTCATATAATGATTCTCATTCATCTTGATACATCACATCACCTAAGTCAGTAGGATTTATTATATTGTAACTATAATATTCGATGATTCAATGCATATTTTTATAAATTAAATAAATGACTAATAATTTTACGTAAGAATTATTTTTTTATTTTATTTTGATGATTATCGATCTATTTGAGAATATTAATATTTTTATTTTCATTAGATTTCATTAATTTAAGTATTAGAAAGATTTTTATCGAAAATACTTCTAACATAGTTTTTATAGGATTGTGTATGAATCTTCTGTTTTCATGACATAAATGTTGTGACAATCTTAGCCGTTAGATACAGATTCGAATCATAATATATCAGATAACATAGATATAAAATAAAAAAATAAAAATACTAAAGATAAAATAATCCTTTTTCCATATCTATTTTAGTAAAAACAAGACGGTCTGTTATTTCAGAAAATATATTTTATTAGAGGATTAGATGGTAAAATAAATAATAAAGCAACATTTTTTTTATGATGCCTTAAGAAAGAGAAGGATCTGTCACGTTCTTATTTGTCTGTGTCTCTCTGTTCACATCTGTAAAGCGTGTGAGAACAGTAAAACGAATAGTAAAAAGGAAAAGAAAAGAAAAAATGTGAGAAAAGAAGAGAAAAAAAATAAAAAAAATCAAGAAATATTTTCTTATGTCTTATTATTTATATAATGAATTTTATTTTATTTTATTATGAATATGATCTAATTATCGCTCAACAAACAAAAAATTATTTTATTTAGACGATTTGTTTCTATAATAATTATTTTAGCTATTTGTATGCTTTTTTCCTTATTATCTCATTACATCATGTATATAAAACAAATGGTAAATATCAAGCATCATAATCTAGTTTTTCATTTTAACAATTGATATTGATGATCAATTTCAAGAAACTCCTACTCACACTGAACCATCTAAGTTGATAGATTATTCGAATCCACCATTCCTATGTAGGATCCGATCAAAGTAAAATTATATTTTGTGTTGTCTCTATAAGGGCGATTTTCATATAAAATATTTATAATTTAGATATTTCCTAAAAGATACTCCTCTTTTATTTTTTTTTACAAATAATATCTATAATTTAAAAAAATATCTAAAATATTTTTAGAATTTTTTTAAAATAATTTTAAACTGTTATAGTGTTTTTATTTGACTCTTTATATTAATTATAGTGTTTTTTGTTTATCTCATTTACATCATTTTAAATAATATTTATAGTATTTTTGATGTACTAAGAACATTATAAATGTTACTGAAAAATACTGTATGATGGTCATTATAAAATTATATTTTTAGATTTATAGTTAGTTTGATGAAAGTAAAAAATCTATTTATATCATTTATAATATTTTTAAGTAGTTCTTATAATATTTTTATTATGATGATCAAAATATTATAACAAACAAATTTTTTTTGAGGAATAATTTAAATATTTTTAAATTAAAAATATTATTATTTTAAATATTTTTTTTGAAGGAAATCGTCTATTTGATTAAAAAAACACTTTAATGGCAACAAAATTGTCTCAAGTGGGAGGTAATATATCAGGGAACATGGTTGCCCCCTCCCTGAACCGGTGGTCCCCTTTTCGTTCAAATCGCTTTCGGATCTATTGTCCACGGGCGTGAACCTAAAAGCATTCATCAGTCATCTGTACCAGTCTCAACGTGTGATGAACGTAGATGATGCAGGGAGAATGATGTACCGTGCAGTGGACGTCGCAGCGTCGCGATCCCCAACATACTTGTTTAGACTAATCGAAGAAGGTAAAGAGGAATCATCCTTTACTAAGTGGCAGCCGGGTTTCCCCACCAATCATGGTTTCCTTCTCCCTCTGCTTCTTCAACATTCCGTCCTCTGAATCCGCGTAGCGAAAGAAGTATCACTTTTTTGAAGAGTAGGAGGATGACTATTGATTGCATCGGTGTCGCCTTCTCCAGCTGTAATCCCGCTTTCTTCCAGCGTCTCGCAGCAAGTTAAACTCCACCCCCGCCCAGGCTTGGGAATCCGTCGCACTAATCGTAGCAAGGAGATAAGAATTCCCCTTTGATTCCCCTCTTCTGTCTCTGTTTTTTTTTTTCTTCGTCAGATCGTCGGGAGACGTGGTGAGCTGTTTTTGATTCGATTTGGTGGTGCTTTTTGTCGTCGTGCCGTTCTTATTGCTGGAGAGGCGGAGCAGCGGCAGCTCGTCCTCAAGCTGTAACTGATGGGGGGTTAAGTGTGCACCGCAGGGCTCGTCTTCTCATAGTTTCTGCCTTGGGAGAGGCATTGCGCTTGCAATTTTTAGTTTTGATGTCTGATTTGTGAGGAAAAGCTGGTTCCGGGGCCAGATTCGTAGGAAAGGTGAGATCTTGATCGAGTCTAGGAGTAATGGCGCCGTCGTTCCACTGGTGGGGAAAGGACGACTACCGTGGGACGTCGGTGATCGTGAAGATGGAGAACCCCAACTGGTCCATCTCAGAGATGTCCTCCCCCGACGGCGACGGCAACGAGTACGGTGTCGATGGCGGCGGTGGGCAGGAGTTAGCGGGAGTGGGGGCGAGGAAGGGCGGCCGCGGGAAGAACGCGAAGCAGTTCACTTGGGTGCTGCTCCTCAAGGCCCACCGTGCCGCCGGGTGTCTCACCTCCCTCGCCTCCGCCGCCGTCGGCCTCGCGTCTGCCGTGCGCCGGCGCGTGGCCGCCGGGCGGACCGACTCCGACGCAGCCTCCTCGCCTCCCGGGGAGAGCCCTGTTCTGCGCACCCGGTTCTATTCTTGCATCAAACTCTTCCTCTGGCTCTCGGTACTTCTGCTGGGGTTCGAGGTTGCCGCCTACTTGAAAGGCTGGCATTTGGGCACCATCGAGCTGCAGCGTCTGTTGGTTATGCCTGCTTCCTTCGGCGCTTGGGGTCTCTTTGAGACGTTGTATGCCGAATGGGTGCAACTGCGGTCGGAGTACATCGCGCCGATTCTCCAGTTCCTGGCCAACACCTGCGTCATCCTCTTCCTCATTCAAAGCGCCGACCGCCTCATCCTCTGCCTCGGCTGCTTCTGGATCCGCTTCAAGAAGATCCAACCCGTGCCAATGCAGGCCGTCGGCAAGGATCCCGAGTCCGGCGGCGAGGACTTCCCGATGGTATTGGTCCAGATTCCCATGTGCAACGAGAAGGAGGTAACCTTCGGAAAGATTTGATCTTTGCGAGCTGGATTTGAGGACTCCGACTCTATAATCATGGTGATTGTTGGCTTTGGAATTTTACAGGTGTACCAGCAATCGATTGCCGCAGTGTGTAATTTGGATTGGCCGAGATCCAACATTCTAATTCAGGTATTGGATGATTCTGATGACCCGACGACACGAACAATGATCGAGGAGGAGGTGGAGAAGTGGCAGCAGAATGGCGCCCGCATTGTGTACCGCCACCGGGTTCTCCGAGAAGGTTACAAGGCTGGAAATCTCAAGTCGGCCATGAATTGTGGCTACGTGAAGGATTACGAGTTCGTCGCCATCTTCGATGCTGATTTCCAGCCGTCTCCGGACTTCTTGAAGCGGACCATTCCTCACTTCAACGTTTGTTCAAACTGATCTGAGAAGCAATGCAAGCTCGAGTTCTGATAATGAACTCTATCCATGGTGGGACTTGCAGGAGAACGAGGAGCTGGGGCTGGTGCAGGCGAGATGGGCTTTCGTGAACAAAGGCGAGAACTTGCTGACCCGGCTGCAGAACATCAACTTGTGCTTCCACTTCGAGGTGGAACAGCAGGTGAACGGAGTGTACCTCAACTTCTTCGGCTTTAATGGGACTGCTGGAGTTTGGAGAATCAAGGCACTTGAGGATGTCGGAGGGTGGCTGGAGAGAACCACGGTGGAGGATATGGACATTGCAGTCCGAGCTCACCTGAAGGGATGGAAGTTCATTTTCCTCAATGATGTGGAGGTACCAGAAGACCTTTGAATTTATGATCATTTTCAAAGATTTGATTAAATTAAGATATACTAATACTGATATTTCATTCAAATTTTGATTTTACAGTGCCTGTGTGAATTGCCCGAGTCGTATGAAGCTTACAGGAAGCAGCAACATCGGTGGCATTCTGGCCCAATGCAGTTATTTAGACTCTGCTTGCCCGACATTTTACGATCCAAGGTATGGTCCACAGCTTCAGTTTCTAGCAGAAAGGAAACAGAGCATTCTTTTGATGCTGTGTAAGTTAATACTTTTCTCAAATTTATCTGAGTCCAATTTTCCTGTTATTGGCATACATAAAACTGAGATCGCTTCAGTAATTAAAAACAGAATTGATCTATATGATTGTATCACCACGATATGCTGAAGTTTTCCACTAATGCATTTTACATCATATTAGGGCACTAATTTTTTTGTTTTACAGGAAGACATCAGATTTAGCCAACTTTTAAAGCCTTATCCTAATGGTGATAAGCTATATAAGAAACGCAAGTTCAACTTTTACTGGACAGCTTATACTTTTCTAATCTTGTCTTCGTCACTTGTCATTCGAAAAAAAAAAAACACTTTTACTTTTCCTAAAAATGACAAATTTCCTGTTATTGACTCAATAATCCAAAACAAATATTTGATTGTATCACCTTAGCAAGAACACAATGTTGGAGTTTTCTGCTGCTACTGCATTTTACACATATTAAGAACAGTTTTTTCGAGGAACACATCAAAGTTAGCCAATTTAAGAAGCCTATCCTAAGAACGAGTTTAAAGTTTTACATGGTCTTTTGTAAATCTCATGCCTTGGTGTGTGATCTCTTTCTTCTACCTACAATGATACTGGCTTATCAAGAACAAAAAGATATTTGGTTTTGGTTACTCTCATGCAAAAATTGAAACAAAAAAAAAAGATGGCTTAGTGCACAAAGGCTCATGTTAATGCTGATAAAACATAACTAATCTTGCTTTCCTTGATTTAGGTAGACTCAGTCTGATACTATCTCTGCTCCTCTGATCCTCTGTTCTTCTGTATCTTTTATGGTTGCAAGAAATTCTAAACATGGGTATATTCTATTACGATTTGTCCAGAGCAATCTTTTATTCCGACTTCGTTTTCCTTTCAGCATAATCAAAACGCACCAACTGCAGGAGCAAATTTCTTGGTTATTCATAACACTTCATCTTGAAATTTAGTCATTCTCCAAATTTGTTGAAGTTTCAGCATTTATTTGTTCTCATTAGATTTGTATCAAATGCTTCTTTCCAAAATGTTATTTTGCATAATTCCTCGTGGTAATCTATTTAATTTCTTGCTGCAGATTGGGTTTTGGAAGAAATCGAACTTGATACTTCTGTTCTTCCTTCTCCGCAAACTAATACTGCCTTTCTACTCTTTCACCTTGTTCTGCATCATCCTCCCCATGACCATGTTCATCCCAGAGGCTGAGCTCCCTGCATGGGTGGTGTGCTATGTTCCCGCGACCATGTCCTTCCTCAGCATCCTGCCTGCACCAAGATCTTTCCCATTCATCGTCCCATATCTCCTCTTCGAGAACACCATGTCTGTGACCAAGTTCAGTGCCATGATCTCAGGCCTATTCCAGCTCGGGAGTGCCTATGAATGGGTTGTCACTAAGAAATCAGGCCGGTCATCCGAGGGCGATCTCTTTTCTCTAGTCAAGAAGGAGCCTAAGCAGCAAAGAGTGGCCTCAGTGCCCGATCTTGAAACTGTTGCAAAGGTGGAGTCCCAGCTGAAAAAGGAGTCTAAGCAGAAGCATAACAGAATCTACCGGAAGGAACTTGCACTTGCATTTCTTCTGCTGACTGCTTCACTTCGGAGCTTGCTCTCGGCCCAGGGTATACACTTCTACTTCCTCCTCTTTCAGGGTATCTCATTCCTCTTGGTAGGTCTTGACCTGATCGGCGAGCAGATTGAGTGAAAAGGTAAGAGGAGAATCTACATGAGAACTGGGTTGCTACTGAACATGATCACAATTAGGGGAAGGATTTATCAGTTTAATGACATCCCAAGATCGTTTTGCAGAGGTGTCTGATAGTCACAATTGCAGCCTGCTGCATTCATCATTCTTTCAGGTCCTATTCTTTTGTATGATTTCACTTATAGTATAGCAGTTTATTTTGATTGTTTGAATATCAGATATTAAAAAAACTAACATTTTTATTGTAATTTCTGTGAAATTCCTCGAAGAAATATTGGCACTAACAATGAGATTTAAGGCCAGCAACCAAAAGAAGTTCTAATACAGAGATAAGTAATATTTCTTGATCAGTAATGTTTTTGTTGTTGTTTCCATGCTGTGTTCAGTGTTGTTGAAGTTACAAAACTTGCCATTTCTTGAAGTAAAGGGTTATTGTGTAGATTTTGGTGATATTATCTTGATGAAGTTATTCATATGCTATAAAAAAAAATAAACACCTATATTTTATTGGTGAAAAATATCCAAGACATTCTCAAGATGCATTGGCAATAAATTATGCAGCTATCATATATTCTATTCCAACATCCATTTAAATTCAAATAATGAATTATGCAAAAGCTAACATTGACAAAACTATTAAAAGGAAGTACAGGCTAAGCAAAAGACATTCATATCTGATTTCATTTTTTCCCTCAAGCCTCCTTCAATAATAAATGAATGTTCATGAAATTAATTTGATGAAACTCTCATCTTATTTTTCACTTGAAAATAGAACAATATCTCCAATATTTTCTAATAAAGGATGATAATGACTTAGATTAGAATATGCTAACACAAGTAAATGACATGAACTCATGAAATGACTGATAAAGGTTCATCAAAGGAATAGAGATGGATGACGCAGGGGAAGAGTCATCTCTAATTCACATGACTCACCTCCCGGAGTCCCAAAGTTGATGCTCGCATGGGTGGGGCACCAACTGGGCTTGTTTTCCCTTCTTGTGCTACAGCATAATAATTACATACAGCTTGTGGGCAAGAAGAAGTCCAGGTGGGATGCCATTTGCTCAACAATTCCCTGCACTTTATTCCTTCCGGTGTCCCCTTGTCGGCGACTTCTCCTCCATCTCTCATCTCCTTCCTTCCTTCATCAAGACAAGGAACAAAGATAGAATAACTATAAGTGTAGTATCCCTGTAAGTTAACGCGAACTCTCCCTAAGACAGACAATCAAAATCTTCTTAATAATGTGTCATGTTATTCGAGTTAGAATTCTTCTGGATGGCAGGATTCTTCCTATCATGCACCACATTCCTATATACGTATTACGTATCTTCTTTGCATGAGAGAACCCTAACTTTTGTGCATCAGATCTGTGCAATGCTTTAATCCAACCTTCTGGTACTTAGAGAAAGCCTCTTCCATCTGAAACAGATGGGGATGAGAAGGAAAGGAATCAAATAAGGTACAGAATTGAACTTTGATGGAAGTGAAGTATAGCGGTGCAACAGAGATAGATTGGCTGGATGGGATGGCCTTCTGATTCCCGTGACACACATGGCCAAGATAGATTGGCTGAATCTAATTATCTTCTTCCTCGTTGTGAAAGCTAGGAACTGAAGCGTCAGCTAGCCATGGCTGCTTCTAGATTGCAGAACATCCGGAAATATACTGTAGGAGAAATGGTGTCCGCTTAAAGCCTGCTGTATGTATCAGACAAGGTGCCACTATGTGTTGTCCAACAAGTGTTAGATTTGTGCCATGGAGTGCATTCATCTGTTACATGCCATTGGAGTGCCTGCTCCATAACTCCTGAGGTGGTCTCACTATTTTAACCTAACGTTGTCATACTTTGTCTGGAACATAACCTCACCATGCTACCCAAGTGAAAATACGGAATAAAGACAATACCTTAGCATATATATATATATATAGAAGTAGCTTTTCCTGAACGCCCATTTGCAGTCACAGAAGTCACCGCGCCTTTATTACATCATACCTACTTTTTGATCCGTTACTCTCTCTCTCTCTCTCTCCACCACTTTGCTTGATATAATGGACCCTTCTTCGTCGATCCTCGTCCAAACACAAAAAGAGTATCCAACGACAGAGTGAAGGAAAAAAGCGGAGCCATGAAAACCGCTCTCCTCCTTTTCTCCCTACTGCTCGCAGCCGCCGTCGCGGCCCGCGAGCTCGACGATAAGAGGAGCAAGTCCGCAAAGGCCGGAGTGGACGCCGCCGCCTACATCCCGGGCTTCGGGGCCGACCCCGGGGGGTTCTTCGGACCGGGAGGCGGGTTCAACATGCCCGGATTCGGCGGCGGGTGGGGCGCGGGGTACGGCGGGTGGGGCGCGGGGTACGGCCGCGACGGAGTGGCCGTGCCATCGGTCGTGTGCTCCGACTGGGGGCCGTGCTACAATAAGAAGCTGACGTGTCCCGCCAAATGTTTCACATCCTACAGCCGCTACGGCAGGGGCTACGGCGGTGGCGGCGGCGGCGGAGGCTGCACCATCGACTGCAAGAAGTACTGCGTCGCCTACTGCTGAGGCCATCCACTAATCCTCCCTCTATATGTCGCTAGTTTAATATCTATCTATATACGGTATGCTTGTACTCGTGCGTGTATTGAGTGGTTTGGTAGGGAAAAGTAGAATAAAGAAGGCTTTAAGTGGTTTGATTATTAATGGTGGTGGCTCAGTTAAACCTTAGGGAGTGTTGTCAGTTTCTTTGAGATGTAAGGTTTTATTGTGTTTCTCTGAATATGGAGTGCTCTACTTAATTAAGAGTTCAAATGGCTTTTCATAATTTGATTTTCTTATATTTAATTATAAATATATATTAAAGAGTTCTGATATTTCATATTGCAAATTTATTTAAAACAATTGGAAGGGTAATCACTATCCTAAATAAAATATTATCCTTTACACTTAATCTTATCCTTATTTTATAATTTATACTATATAAAATAAATAAGTATTTGAACTTTTAATTATCATAGTACACTTTTTAACAAGTCAAACCAAAAAAAAGAAAATTCACTATTTTTTCTTATCCTTAAATAATGATTGAATGGAGAGAAAGTAAAGTAACTTATTGTATTAAAGGAAGAACAAAATACTAATAGATTAAAAGGAGGTTATTTTTAAATCTTTTAAATCTCTTCATCGATTGGTTGCTATCATTAATTAAGAAAAGATAATTTAATCTTAATTTTAATAATAAAATTATTTGATAAATTTAAAGAACTAATTTTATAATAAAATAAATGCTACAAGTGTTATAGATGAGAGTTTGAACATTATGCTAAGATGTATAAAATTATACTGAAAGATTAAATATTATGAAAAAGATTGGATGTCATATCGAATGATTAGATATTATATTCGATGATCGTAATCAAGAGGAAGATAAATCGATATGTCAAAAAATCAAGTAATGTGTAAGTACAATGGATAATGCGTTAGGAGAAAGACTTGTCGAAAGACCCGTCAAAGTGCTTGAAGAGCAATTGGATTTATTAAAGCTTTGGTCGAAGTTAAATTGGGTTGCAAGTGGTCTTCAAATATGCTAAAATTAAGTTATCTCAATTGGAGTTTATGTTCCATTACATGGATCGATCTATAGGCTGTCTTGGGCCTTACTAGGCTTGGAAGCATGGTGATGGTATCACCCAATCTAAGTCATTGGGTGATACCATCAATGATAATACTAAATGAAATGATTATAGTACCTTGAGTATCCTTATTTTCAAATATTTTTCAATGATTTACTCTTATGTTTCGATCGTTTAGGGCTATAAAGTATCCATTTTAGGTTTGACTTTTAGAGTTTTTATTATTAAGATTTCTTATTGTACTTGTGAGTGACTTTTAAAAGTTTAAGAGATCAAGTGAAGATCCCCAAAAGAAGATGTAAAGGATTGTGATCTTGGAACTCTTAGAAGAAAAATTAATAGTAAAAATAATGGACTTGAGCGAAGATATATTAAGAGTAGACGTAGGTAACAATTATGAATCGATTGACCTTTCTCTTTTACTTATGCTTATTTGATTGATTCAATTAGATATCATATCATTGATTCCTCTTCCCTTTATAAGATTAAGACCATTGATTTTCACTATTGATCTTTCTTCTAATAAACGAAAATGAATGATTTTTTATGCTTTATCTTTTTTAAGATTTACAAGAGAATATTACAATTGAAACTCTCAAGATTTTATAAGAATCTCTTATATATTGGGTATTCTTCTAGCATGTTATTTGAACATTTGACAAACCATCTTATTCTTCGATATATCGATTTATCCTCCTTCAAAAGCTAACACGGTGTTTTGATTCTCCAATATAACATTTAATTTTTTATTATAATATTCAATCCTTTAGTAGATCTTCTAAGACATTCGATCTTTTAGTGGTCTACACTTTTAAGTATAATCATAACATTTAGCTTATCTCATGATTAGTTCTTTAAAGTCATCAATTGATATTATCATCAATTAATTTTATTATCTTGTTATAAAAAATATAAGATTCAATATTAATGTCATTATGATCATAACATAGTCGGATAGTTACGAATAATCAAGGTAGACCACTGAGAGCAGTACCTAAGTACTCTTATTTTTAGAGACTTCTTATCTATTTGCTCCATATGTTTGGATTTTTGTTATAAGTATCTTACTAGACTTTTGAGTTGAGATAAAGAAACTCTTGCAAAGCTGCTTGAATACCTTCCTTAATTGCCCAAGTCTCATACTACAATATTATTCTTTCTTGCAAAATGCCTGCATTCATAAATTAGAAGACATCCAGTTCAATTTATACCAATCCTTTGATGGAGGGATCCATTTGATAAGAATTTCTTATGTCCTCTGATTTCCCCTCAGGAATAGCAATTCTCAACACAGTATAAGCAACAGTAACAACTCTACACATTAGGGTGAAAGGATGTATTATTATCTTGTATTCTTATTTAAATACTTTGATTATTATTTTTTGTTTGTTACTGTTACATCTTTACTTTGTTTTTAAAATGATCTCCAAACACACTTGCATTAGTTCACCTTCTTAGTATTATTACTAATCCGAACAAAAAAATTACATTCGAAGTATTTGACATGACCAAAGTCTAACATTAGCGAGACATCAACTTTGAGAGATGATAATCACTTCAAGTATTTTCTTGTGTATAATAATCACTTCAAATATCTCTTCATTATGATGTTACTAAAATGAAATTAAGCACTTAAACGACTTATAAATATTTTTTGCCCACAACTAATAAAGCAAAATTGAGCAATTGTATGTACACACCTTTAACATATTTTTTTTATATAAAAACAAGATAATGGATATAAGATATAAGTTTTTCTTTTTTTACCTTCGAAAAATATCATCTCTCAGTTGAGTCATACATAATTGAATATATCAAAAGTTCAAATTAATCATGATGACTATTTTTAATAAATAAAATTAAAAATATTTAAAATAAAATTCAATACTTTTATCAAAAACTCAAATATAAAAGTGTAAATATAAAACCTACTTACTTGATGGGTATATATATATATATATATATATATATATATATATATATATATATATATATATATATATATATGATGTAATTTGGATATATTTATAATAAGATGCTGATAAGGGAAAGGATGTGGAGCTCACCAATAGGAGCAAACACCTACTTCTTTTCCCGTGTTTAAAGTATACAGAAATCGATATCAGTGATGGCGAGACTCAAACGCTGTAAAAGCAGCAGGAAGTCTTTCCTCCGTCGCTTCTTTCGTTCTGTCCTCGGACTCGGTAGTTCTCTTCCCCTTCTTCCTTATTGTGTTTATTTATGCAATTGTGCCCCTCGTACTTCGGTTTCTTGATTGTAATTTTAAGTTGTTGATCTCTCTCGATCGACAATTGATGGTTGTTTTCCTGGTGGATCGACTGTTTGGTGCTTTATGTGCGATCCACGGCTTCTTGGTTTCTCTGTTAGCAAATTTTGCGAGCATTTGGGGTTACCTTCTATCTCGGAGAATAATTTCAGGATGGACCCTCAATTTTTGATGCTCGCCTGCCTTAGGGCTGTTGTTTCGATCTCAAAGACCCCTCCCTTTTTGCTCGAATCGGTCTTGGAGTTCGTAAAGTTCTGTTTTTGTTGGGATGTTCTTGATCTACGAAGAGAGTCTTTTTCGGATTCTTCGTGATCCGATCGGCAATTCATGGGTTTTTTCCGGTGGATCGACTGATCCAAGTTTTGGTGTGTGATCTGTGGCTTCTTTGCATCTCTGCTAGTGATTTTTGCTACCTTTGGGGTTCCCATCGATCTCGGAGGATAATTTCAAGACAGGGCCACAATTTTTGATGCTTTTCTGTCTTAGGGTTGTTGTTTCGATCTCAAAAAACCATCCTTTGCCGTTAAATTGGTCTTGCAGTACGAAAGCTAGGTTTAATTGGGTTGTGTAGCAAGATTGCGCAAAACTTGTGAGCAATGCCATATCTTTAAGATGAGAGTTTTTGTTTTGCCGCTAAACAATACCCCCTTTTGATGACAATCTGTGTGCTACGAAGGTGAATACATACATGGGAAGTAGATCTGGGGAGTCAGCCACTGGAGATCCACAGAGTCCATCGGGTTTTGGTGGTAGTAGCAACAGGAATACCAGTAGCTTCCTGTGCAACATATGCTTGGATCCCGCTCAAGAGCCCGTCGTCACCCTCTGCGGTCACCTTTTCTGCTGGCCCTGCCTGTATGAATGGCTTCATGGCCACTCCAGCTCTTCCGAGTGTCCCGTCTGCAAGGCCACTGTTGAGGAGGTGGATATTATCCCACTGTACAGTGGAGGAAATAGCCCCGCCGACCCACAGTCCAGGTCGATCGATGGTACCGACATTCCCAGCCGACCGGCAGCTGGTCGGAGGTCGGCAAGAGCCCAACAACCACAACCTGACATGACCAGTTTCCATCAGCACAACGTGAACCATGTCCATCACCTCAACAACCATTACCCATGGCCAGTGGGCTGGAATCAGGTGGCTGGCATGAGGCATGGTGACTTCTCATTTCCGGCAGCAACTGCCGGTGGTGTTCCTGCTTCTTTGCACCAAGGTTATGCCAATGTGTTTCACTGTTGGAATGCTCATGGAATCCACCAAGGTCATGGCCAGCTTGCTCATGGGTTCTACCAGGGTCATGGACATCATGCTCATGGGTTCTGGCGACACCCAAATCATAGACAACGGGCTAATGTCATCTGGAACATGCTTTTCTTCTTGTTTGTGGCGCTGGCAATTGCTAATACAGTATCACGGATGCTTCTGTAAATGTTTGATCCTTTCACATATGCCCGCATCATCATTATCGATTCACAGAAGTCTGATCAACTGGTGTCCGGTTGAGGTTGAAATAAGGTTTTGTTTAGGTTAAATTGCACTATCTCTTTACCTTTCCCTTATTTGTGACTCAATCTTAAAGATTACAAAAGCATGTACTTATTGGATCCATTTTTTCTTTTTTGAGGTGAGTAACTTTTTTCTTTAAGCAGTCTTTCTTCTTCTTTCTTATGAACCTTTGCATGTTGTCTCATACATATCATTAAATCGTTGTATCTCAATTTGTTGGAAGTGATCTAAAAATTTTACTTATTAATTTAATATTAGAGTAACTTTTATCAAGTGATTTTAATTCACTGATAACATCTATAAATTTGGATACATATCACCAATAAATTTAATTTATTTTATTTTAAATAATTCATAATCTTGTACTAAAAAGTGGATCAAGATGGTATGGGTATGGAAAATCGATATGACAATGATGGATCGAAATAGACATCAGAACCACTACGGTGTCCACTACGTAAGTCAAAACGGAAAGCAACAAAAGCTAATAGTGTACATGGCAAACTTAACGAGGAGGAACAAACAACCACTCCGATCATTACTTTACATTCAATCATAAGCTAATACGAGCAAATTCAATCATAAAAAATCTCATTTATCATGGAGCATCCCTTAAGTATCTCTCTAAGAGAAAAAGTGACAACACGATCAAATTTGATTATGAAATACCCTTTTATAATGATGTGATTGAATCGATCGCAAAGTGGCTCTTAATGAAAAACATGATCAAATCCATCGGGAAGCATTGCGCCAAAATCTTAGTGAATCAAGGCCAATGAATCTAGTCACAAATGGGTGATGATGCAACTATAGCCAACCTCAAAATAACCATCGAACGATGCATGTAACCACGTTATAGTGACATTGATCGATAATCTACTAAATAAGACATCATGTCTCAACCTTTTTCATGTGCTGAAAGACAATAGGGGCAAATGACACGAGAGTTTGACACATGAGTAATACAATGAGATCATTCTCATCTAAGTGACATTAGCTAATCCCCTATCTTATGAGGATGATAACCCAGCACTAATAGGGATAATGACTCAATGCTAACAAGGATGGTGACTCAATACGATGAGTAGTTTATAAAATTGGAATGATAACTAGTAGTCTATGAGTGGTAATGCTAGCCAATACATGTAATTGTAACACTCAACATTTCACGAGCCTATGTCTCAATAATGATCGGATAATCCGCATAATTATTCTCGATATGAATCATTGTCTCAACTCAATAGTCATCTTGACACACCATAAAAACTCCCTTGATATATCCTTCGAACTTATTGAGAAAATTATAATCTTTACTATTTTTATAATCTTCTAAATAATTTCTCGCTTAAGCATCAAAGAGATTTTTATTGAGTATGCCACTGCTATATGTAATTTTATAAGATCATTAATCGAATTTCTTGTTTTTCTGACACTTCTGCCTATGATCCGTGGAAGTAAACCCAGATTGGATATAGATCCTCTCCCGTCATCATACAACCAAAATATAATTTAACAATACGCTATGTCAATCTTTTTTACTGTTTCACGTATGTGAGTAATTTCTAATAAACATGACAAACGCTAGTTTGCATCATTAAGTGAATCACCAGCCAAATCCCACCTCCAAGGGAACTCCATACCCGAAGGAGAATGTTTGTAGTGGTTTCTTCCAGACGAACACCAGTCTGCGTATGCCCATTCCACCACGATCGTTTAATGCAATGCATGACATGCCAAAGAAGAGTCTGCGTCACTGCGACTGTCAGCAACCAAATCCCCATGATACCTTCAGGAGGGGAAGCATCAGATTTGGTCACAGAATCCTTGCAGATGCCTCCTCCTGGCCAAAACTATGTGACGGGTTGGTGCTAACGCATGGCTCCTCTACCACCCATCCCCGTTTGATGCATGCACAAATCCCACCTTGAAGACAACTCCATACCTATTTGCCCGGAGAGAGAACATCTGCCGATATTATCTCCCAAGCAAAGCAACTCATCCTTTGTTTCTGACACAAACAACAGTAACACAAATGCAAGGAATTAGATCACAACGGAGAAGATGATCTAACAACAACATACGAGACACTGACAACAGGCCTAAACTAAAAAGATTGTAAGCAAAGGTGGGACTTTCTCTGGTTTCACATGACGATGGTGATGTAGCAACCTCCTGTTCTTCAGTGGGTGAAAGAGAGATGGAAAATGACCACTTACAGAACACAAAAGTTATTTCCTTCTTGTGTTGATCCTACAACATCTATAGCTTGGTAACGTTGAGGAATAGTTGGAGATAAGAAATTGGAGGCAGTAAATAGATGATCATTGTGTTAGGATTAGATAAGGCGTTAATCTGGTCTGGTTTCAGATTAATGGCTCATTGAACCGTTGGATCAAATAGTTGTGACCTATAATATTAGGTCTTCGTTTTATTATCCATCCTTTTATCATTTTTCATCATGCACTTAACTGGTTTTGTCTAAGTCGTGTGACACCCTTGCATGTTCGTCCGTAAAGGTCAACCTCTCCGAAACTTCCTACTATCGTCCCTTAGTACCTACAAAAGAGAAAACGGATAAGAAGAAACGCCTCACCCGGAATCCATAAGCAATCATTTCAGTAAACACTTTATAATTAATACAAATTACAAACAAATTTTACAAGCTTTGAACGGTCACACAACAAAGGATCCAAAATAGTCCACTACATATTGAAATTTTTCACAAGTATTTATATTACACAATTATTTTTATTTTTATTTATATTACAAAATAGTCCACTACAAACACAAGTATTTTTCACAAGTATTTATATTTTTATTTACAAGTCTAAAACGATCATCAAACCCAACTAAAATTGGGTTGTTAAACGTTCGATCGTCCTTTACATACTATACAAAACATAAACTATTTGAGAAATATGTGAGCGTCATTATACTATTTGATAAATATGATGAAAATTTCTCTCACCGTATACAATGCAATGCAGTATACACGCTCTTTATGGGTGTTAGAATTATAATATCAGTATTTGTCATATTGTCCACCTTTTCTCATTCCTCCCATCGATAATTAAATGGAAATCGTAAGCCGAGATGGAAAAGAATTAGGCTTCAGCACCCACTCATTTACGTCGTGGATGCTACTTACAATACAATTGGTGATACTATCAAGACAAGACCCATCCATGATGGAACCATAGCTTGAAGATTAGTTGGTAAAGACTTGAAGTTTAGCGTCATAAATATTATATATTACAGTAGTTCTCCACGCGAAACCTCCATAAATTATAATCCCCCCTCTTTGCCTCCCTTCGACGTGCGAGTGCGACCCCACGAATTCCAAAATCCAAATGCCTCCATTATCGCTCTCCTCGACCCTCTTGCTCCTTCTCGCCGTGTTATTGTCGTCCTCCTATTGCGCCACCGCCGCCGCTGCAGAGAAACATGGCGCCGCATCTGGCATGCCGAGCTTCCGCGAGGCGCCACAATTCTACAACGCCCCCTCGTGCCCACCGCCTCTGCCGGCGGGGCCTGGAGCCGCCTGCTCCCCCAACGCGCTGGTACACGTTGCCATGACCCTCGACGTGGCTTACCTCCGCGGCTCCATGGCGGCCGTCCTCTCCGTCCTCCGGCACACCGGCTGCCCGCAGTCTGTCTTCTTCCACTTCGTGGCCTCCTCCGCAGCGGATTACCTCCGCGCCACCGTCGCTGGATCCTTCCCCTCCCTCGGCTTCCAGATCTATCCCTTCGCCGACGAGCCCCGTGTCGCGGGTCTAATCTCCACCTCCATCCGGGCCGCGCTCGACCGGCCCCTCAACTACGCGCGCTCCTACCTCGCCCGCGTCCTCCCGGAGTGCGCCCGCCGCGTTGTCTACCTCGATTCTGATCTCGTCCTCGTCGACGACGTCGCCAGCCTCGCTTCCATCCCGCTCCCCGATGGCGTCGCGCTCGCCGCCCCGGAGTACTGCAACGCCAACTTCACGTCCTACTTCACAGCCACCTTCTGGGCCAACCCGGCGCTCTCCGTGGTTTTCGAGGGGCGGCAGGCCTGCTACTTCAACACCGGCGTCATGGTCATGGAGCTCGGCCGGTGGCGAGACGGCGGGTACACGGAGCAAATCGAGGAATGGATGGAGCTCCAGAAACGGATGCGGATCTACGAGCTGGGTTCGCTGCCACCTTTCCTTCTCGTCTTCGCGGGTCGGATCGCGGCTGTGGAACACCGATGGAACCAGCACGGCCTTGGCGGCGACAACTACCGCGGGCTGTGCCGCGACCTCCACCTGGGCCCGGTCAGCTTGCTGCATTGGAGCGGCAAGGGGAAGCCTTGGGCGCGCCTCGACGCCGGGCGACCGTGCCCGTTGGACGCCCTCTGGGCGCCGTATGACCTCCTCCTCCGCGCCCCCTTCGCCATCGACGACTCCTGATCCGACCCGAATCCATCCCCGTCGACCGACCCCACCCGGAACACACACACACACACACATCACCATCTTAATTTTCTTGTATCTTTTCTTCTTCTCCTCTGAAAGCACAAAGATTTTGCTGGTCAAATGTAGAAGAACAATATGATATACTTATAATGTGTGGTTGAAAGGGGTGTAGGTAAGTAAGGTGGATCTTAATGAACAAAATAATTGTGAGTTAAACCTTCAGCTTCATTCCCTTCTACCTCACTTGCTCTTCTTATCATCTGTGGTAGGTAATGGAGTACTAATGTTAGTGCAATGATTGCTTTGCATTTTTAAGTGGGGAATTGAAAGACCTGCTAATTATTACAAATATTAGAATGAAACATGTATTTACATTACTACAACCTTTAGAATCCAAATGCAATAAAAAGAGTTGCAGATACTTTGATTCAGAATAAACTATTTAGAGGAAAAGGAATCCAAATTTGCAATGACCTCTACTTGAAGAAAAAAAATGAATTTACTATTATGTAACTATCATATGTATCTCATAATTTTGGTATGGAATATAAAATCATAGTTGATAAGGTCATTTAGTCCCAAAGAAATATGGGAACCAAGGGTTTATAAGTTCGTCAGGTCTTTCCTACCTTTAGAGATATCTTTTGAAGTTTACATGTTCCGAAAAGATAAAACTGTGCGGGTTCAATTTCCATCACCTAAAACGAATAATCCCTCGCATGTCATGTGGGTTAGCTTCTCATCACCCAAAACGGATAATCCGTCGCACGCATACGTGCTTTTGCTTAATGAAAGGCATCAAAGTTTTCTTTGACCACTGCAAAATGCCACGAAACATGTGCCATCTCCTCATCTCGTCAGCAATTTCGTGCTTAACGCATCAAGATGGCCCACGACTTGGCGGCTTTCTACACATGCTCCAAAGTCGAGAGCCTCATGGCCATGTTCATGCTCTTCAAGGGCAGAAGCTTCGAGCTGGGGTAGGAGCTAAGAGACATTGACTTTGAGACACTTGTGGCTGCAGACTTCCTCAACCTCACTAGATATGCTGTTATATTATTATTGTCTCAGTGTCGGTGATCTCACAAAGCTAGGAAACATATTTAGATAGTAAAAGAGTGGGACCCCTATGGAAATTAAATTAACTTGTACGTCAGATCCTATATTTACCGAAGACTAAGAGAGGACTAATAAAATAATCTGATATTTACTAGTTAATATTTTTTTTAATTAATATGACGATAAATATCATTTATTGATTACCTCATAAGCCCGTCTTCATCCCTGCTCATCAATCATATCTGTCAATTATGTCATCATCTTTGTAGTTAATTATATACTCGACCGGCTCAACTACACTACTAATGGAAAAAAATAAATAGGAATTTTTATGAAATCAAATCCGAAAAATTCAATTAAGTTCCTGAGGCACAAAATTATAATGACAAAAATTGTGACGGCACAGAAGCATTAATTCATCTGAAATCGATTCCATTCCATAAAGAAGAACTAACTCCTAAAAACTAATCATAACAATTACAATAAGTGCAACACCAAAGATGAAGATGATAACAGCACTGAGAATGTTTGCCAGAAGTCTTCGGCAGCACAAAAAATCAGCATACAGACGTAGCATTTTGACTTCAGCAATACATAAATCAGTTCCAGAACCTTTTACAATATAAATCAACTGGCATGCCCTACACCAACCTCTCCAGCAGTCCGCTGGGGTTGGAAATCTCCAAACTAAAGAGAATTAGGCATTCACACACAAAAAACAACTACAACTCCCTGAATACACATATTTGAAGATTAACCCTAATGGACCTACACTATCCTGCACCTTATACCCGTGGTTGGCGTGTGCTGAAAATATCGGCAGGCTCCCCAAAAGCATCTCCTTGTTAACAAGTTTTATGAAGTTTACCTTTTTTCGTGTATCCTCAAGAAAGTGTATTGGCCCCTCACATTAGCAGCAACAAAGATCTTTACAGTAAGCTGGGAAGAGTCTTAAAAGATATCCCAGTTAGGAATGTTGGCGCTTGCCTCATTCACCATCTTGACAAGAGTCACCTGACCGAACGTTCCGAAACCAAGAAACTAATATTCAGAAAACAGAAAAAAAATATATCTATTGAAAATAAAAGGATGCATTTTTTTTTCTTTGGAGTACATTGAACATCTAAAGAGTAACATATTCCACATATCATGATCTAAAATATAAGGCGTCTATGAACAACATCTCAAATGGAGCAGATATTTATCATTAACAGAAGAGATACAGTTTCCATTAGCTATTACCACTGGCAAGGTATATAAACTTCATCAACAGAAGTCCTGTCATGCATTTTTCTAGATGACATATTCACAATGGTTAGACCAGGGCAACATATACAAAGTAGATAAAATGTCAATACTTTTTATATCTATGCATGTTAAATTATATTCACAATAGTTAGACCAGGGAACTAAGTAATGTATATGAAGTAGATAAACATTCTGATATTATCTATGCATGTTAAGACAGTGCTTAAAGATGTATTCCGGAGGAAGGTTATGAAGAAACAAAGATTACCCATGAATAACTTCCCAAATAAAAGAGACATACTGCTTGAACAAAGATAGTTTCATAAGGCCTATGAATTTACAACCTGTTTTCTCTTATCTAAACTTGTCCAAAACTATTATCCAGTTGTTGTCGACAAATGTTTTTCACATGGAAAATTCTTCCTAAGGAGAAATCTGTAGCCCATCTGCGATAATAAAATGTGTTTTTCTTTGAACTGATAACCTTTTCCATTCTAAATCAATGGAAAATAATGAAGAATACAAATATATCACAGCTCAAACAAATGGCGCAAGCTTCTCTCACAGGCAGTCAGCAACATCAAACACACTTAACTCCTAAAGTAACTTAAAAGAAAAATAACCACATGTCAAACTTGTGGTGCAACTTCCATTGCACAAAACTATAAAATCCAGTTGTCTTCCACTAGGATCCAGAGAATATTTACTTCTAACCTAATATAAGCCAAAAAACTCCAAACAGTCCCGAACTTGCAAATGACTTCATCTTTAATAATGTTAGGTCAACATGTCTTTAGAACTTTGCTGATTTAGAATTTATTATTTCTAGCAAGCCAGCCATGATAAATACTTCAACAGTAGCTGCCAAAAGGCTTTCCTGCAGCTCTGTATTGCCCCTTTCCCTCAGCTATATTTAGTGCCCATTTTACCTCAGTTTGCAGGAAAACTATCAGCTCATGCAGACCAACCAGTAAAAGCATATTTGCCCATATCTGCTTGTGAAAGATCATCTGAAAGCACACCCAAAATCACAAATGATCATTATTCTCATTCAGCCAAATACGGCATGAAGATGTGATGCTTATCGCCTAAGAAGCCTCTCTTTTTGATAATCTATCTTGCAGAGCAACACACAATTCAAAAACGAAAACTTAGGTATTCCCTTTGGAAACAAACTAGTTTATGCCAATGAACCTTGTTCCCTATATCTCAATTAAAAACTCAGGCCTTTTTAATACTGATCCGATAATCAGTCTTCAGTAATAGTTTATTGTCTTCCTGAGTAAAAGTCATCTGCTCTATCTCTTCCCATACAGCAGAAGTTTCCTAATTTAAAGATACAGGAAAACTTCTCATAGCATGAAGAAGTAGTTATTCCCATAACCCACAGTATTTATTTTTGCATATGTAGACACTCCTCATCCTGCAGCAATGTAATGTAACACCAAAAACAAATTCTTCCATATTGAGTTAGATACTCATCATCACCTTTTAATTTAATAACTTTGAAGCTCATCAACTGTCTCCTTCCAATTGCTTTGGCAATGATATAATGGATTCGATCTAATCTTCAAGAGTTTCTGTTTCAGCATTGTTTTGAACATAGTGCAATATTGAACTCAGCCTACCATGCACCTCTGATGATTGCATGATAGCCAGATATAGACTCCAAAGGGTACTTTCTTGTTATTATGTCATAAATACATATGCCAGCATGGGATTGTGGCTTGAATACCAGGGAAAAGCAATTCAGTCTTTGACTCAAGATAATGATTCATCATAACTAAGATTCTGTCCAACTTCATGGACTCTGATCGGTCTGAAACCAAAAGATAAGCCTTTAAAATATCAAATCAAGCAAACCTGTATTCAGCATCAAATTCCTTGGAATGTGGCCAACGACAGAGAGTTATTTTCTACTACAAAAGGTCTGGTGGTAGCACTGAACTCTCCCGTCAACAACCATGGCTATGTAGCTGATAGCTATATGGTTATTCTTCTTCTTTGTCCCTGAGTCCTAAGCGATCCCATAACTCAAATCTTTTCCACCTTGGTATGTGCACCATCAAGAATTAGGAGCCAAACAAAAACCATCCAAGATAATCACCTCAACATGAATAATCCGTGGTAGAATATAGAATATTCATAGAATTAACTAGCACTTGATTCACAATCCATACAGCCCAAATCCTGCCAAAAGAGCTTCTGAATAATTAGTATGATTCTGTCCTTAGTGCATCTCCCCTTGCCTGGTTGAACCTGATATCCAAAGTAGCAGCCACAAATTTGTGCATGTCTCTTTTGCTTTATGGGACAACCTAATCCCCTAACGTTCCAGCACCACAGTTGCATGGCTAGTTCTTCTGCGGAGAGGCAACTCTTTTCTTCCTACTCAAGACCTTTTTCCTCTTTTTCTTTTAGTTATTCAGGGACCTCTACGACATCCTCATTTCCATTTGCCAGAGAATTTAGCTATATTCTTTGTTTTTAACAGCAATATCTAACTAGTCCTGCAAGCTCCAAAATTTGAGCATAGGAATACATTCAATATTAAGAAGGTAGTACATACTTCTTGCACAATTCACACTCATCTTGATTCAAGAAGTTCACTGTCTTCATGCCTCTTCATAGTCCCTTCACTGTTGGTGTTGACTTATGCTGACTTAGATATGTTTGTGCTATGTCTAAGACTTCCACTACTAGCACAGTGTCTTCCATCATCATTATCATGCAACACACCATTGTTAATAAGATTGCAACAATATTTCCAATATCTTGATTTACACATTTTTCGTTTTCCTTTTATTAGGTGAAGCAAACACTCTGTGCTAAACAAGATATACTATTGATTTCCACAACTGTATCTACTCCAGATCCACTACCCTTAAGGGTTTTTTTAAATATCTAAT